CGCGGCGCCCGGGGAGGCCCCGGAGCTCCCGGCGGTCAGACGAGGGATCCCGACCGGCTCTCCCGCTGGGGGCCCGGGCGCAGCCGGGCCTGGCGAACCCCAGTGTCACGGTCCCTACGGTGACCCCGGGGCGGCTGTTCCCCTGAGCGTTGAGAACACAGCCCGCCGCACAGGAGGCCCTGCTGCTGTCGCTGTCGTCGCTGTTCGGCAGGTTCTTACCTCCGGTGCCTCCGGGGTCGGGCCTGTGACCGGGAAGTGACAGCGCGGCCCGTGTCACGGGGGCTTTCTCCGAGGAGCGAGGGCCATGGGTCGCAACCTGGAACTTGCATCAGCATCTTCCGGGGTGGGGGGTGGGGGTGCTCCAGGCAGATGAGGGGTCCCATCCCCGGAGTCTCAGATTAGAAAAGCTGGGGTGGAGCCTGAGAATTCTCATTGCCGACCGGCTCCCTGGGACCACACTTGGGGAACTGACCTAAAGGACTTTGTGCCAGCGCTGCCCTGGCCCCGGTCGGGAGGCAACCAACCTACACATCCCTGTTTCTCTCCCTTACACTCTCTCTCAAAAACAACAACAATGGAAATTATCAGGTGAGGATGAACAAAACACACAAGTGCCAGGGCGGTGGTAGTGGCAGGGAGGGCAGTGGTCAGGTGTGGGGAGGAGGTTCCTGGGACAGTTGCTAATCACTGCGGCCCTGTGAACCCCGGGGCTCTCTGCCCAAGGACCCCTCGAATTCTCCCCGCTGGGAAATGGAGGCATGCTCCTTGCAATCTAGGACCTCAGCTCCAAGCCCAAGAGCTAATTCACCTTCTCTGCGGGTATGAACAAGATGGCTTCCACCCAGCCCTGGCTGGTTTGGCCCCGTGGATAGAGTGTTGGCCTGCAGACTGAAGGGTCCCGGGTTCGATTCTGGTCAAGGGCACATGCACGGGTTGCGGGTTCGACCCCCAGTAGGGGGCGCAGCCAATCAATGATTCTCTCAAATTGATGCTTCTTTCCCTTCTTCTCTGAAATCAATAAAAAAATATATATCAAGTATTCCCCACAGTTTGCAGTAGCCATGCCTATTCTGGCCACTGACTTGTTCCCGGGTGTGACTACTAGGTAAGCATTCTCCCACATCACCTAGACCTTAATAAAAATATGTTTTTAAAATATGAATTCTACCCAGAGGCTAAGCTCCTCCCATTTAACCATTATTTCAGTCATGCATTCATTTAACAAGTACTATTGAGTGCCTACTGTGAGGCAGATGCCAGGGCAGGTGCTGGGAGACCTTGTGACAAAACCAGATGCAGAGCCTGGCCTGGGGGAAGTGAGTTTGGTCAGGAAGGCACACCCACACGTGAAATCCATGTGTGTGTGAAATCATTAACTGGTGCCAAGAAGTACAAAGTGTTTCCAAGTTCAAGGTACCTGGAAGAGAGTAAACTTTCCAGTCACAGACAGACAGGGAGTGAACTCAGACTTCCTGACTCAATCTCCAGGAATTTTTATTTTAAAATATTTTTAAAATTTTTAAAAAGATCCCCATCAGAGCATTATATTTACTTATATCTTTAAGTGTTAAATCAACTTTGTTTGAGTTATGATTTATATACAATGAAATGCACCCATTTAAAGTGTGTTTCTTTAAATTATTTTAGCCTTTTTTTTCTTTTTTAAACATCCTTGAGGAAACCACTGGATTTCCTTTATTTCTACTCCTACAGTGACGGGTGCTGAGCCACTTAAGAAATATTTGTGGGCCCTGGCCGGCTTGGCTCAGTGGATAGAGCATCGGTCTGCGGACTGAGGGGTCCCGGGTTCAATTCTGGCCAAGGGCACATGCCTGGGTTGCGGGCTCCATCCCTGGTGTGGGGTGTTTAGGAGGCAGCCAATCAATGGTTCTCTCTCATCATCGATGTTTCTCTCTCTCTCCTCCCTTCCTCTTTGAAATCAATAAAGAAATATATTTAAAAATGAATAAATAAAAATAAATAAATATTTGTGGAATTTGATCAGCTTATGTGACAGAAAACAGAGAAAGGGAAAGAAATTCATTTGAAACTGTAGGCCAACACTGCAATGAGTAACTATTATCGTATAGTCTTTTTCCAATAACAGGTCATTGGGGTTTCAGTGATTTGTCTTGTTTTTATATATTCAGGGCTCTCCCACGCCCTGAATTCAAAATGCTGTCCTCGGACCAGGAGTAAGGACATTACCTGGGAATATGTTAGAAATGCAGACCCTTAGGCCTACCCTAGACCTGCTGATTCAGGATCTGCGTTTTTTAACAAGATCCCCAGGTGATCACTGGGAACATTTAAGTTTGAAGTACAAATAATGAGCATTTTTTTAAATGCCTGTCCTGTATAGGGCTTTATTTTAAGCACCCAAATATGTAGCATGTATAATGTTAATACTTTGCATTGCCTACCTATTGTTGCCCATATTATTTTAATGTTAATGCTTATTACATTGTGTTATTGCTGTTGTTTACACATTTGTCTCCCCCACTTACTAATTATGTTGTCTTGGGCAAATTACTAACCTTTCTGTGCCTCCATTTCTTTTCACAATTGTAAAAAAGAAGATATTTAATAGAACCTACTAGAAAAGATGGAAATGAGATAATATTTGTAAAACAGCACAGCAACTGGCCCATGTTAAGTGCTCGATACATCTTTGTTATTATTATTCCAATTTTCCAATCTTATAAACAGAACAAGTCAAAAAGCATCCCTGCACACAATTCTTTTGCCATATCTGATTGTTTCTTTGGGAGAAACTCCTAGAAGGGTCAAGGGATACTATGTTCCCAGGTTCTGGGTTCAAAATAGCACAAGGATGGACAAACTTTCAAAGTAGGGAGAGGCTAGGCCATAACTGATATCTCTGAGAACATCAAGAAATTAGCATTTCAGCCTGAACAGGCACCTGGCAGCAGGTTGATCCTGCCCACAACCCACATCCCCTGAGCCCCAAGGAGAAGTTCAAGTGCTCTAAAAGAAGGCCTCAGAATCTCAGACAACACCATTCTTGGCTTCAGTGTAAGTAGTACAAAAACATCATAAAATGCCACTGCATACCCACATAGAATCCCCATGGTTGCCTATTTAGGTCTTTATGATTTTTCAGTTTTATTAACAACGTCTCAACTGACAAAAACAGTAGATAAAAATGGTGTTTCCAACATTCTCGTTCACAGTCCACTCTTGGATAAAGGAAAGAGCAGTGATTACTGCTAATGTGACGTTGTAGCAGGAAATGCAGACCTGGGGCCAGGCCACCCTTCTAAGGAACCCTGCCCCCAACAGTTCCCGTTTCATCCTTAATGAGGGACCTTGCTCCCTTCATTCACTTTAAAATGTCCCTGAAGAAAGCAAAGGAACCCCCCCTCCCCCAATCCCTGCAAGTGAAAGAAGTTCATTAAGAAGTCCTTTCTCAGGCGTGAGGATTCCTGCTGGGAATTTCACCAAGGGGCCAGATTCTCTCTAGGAGAAGGGTTGTCCCTTCACTCTGAAATGCCAAAGGACAGTTTTAAAAAATGAAACTTTTTATTTTGAGATAATTGTGATTCATATACAGTTGTAAAAAATCATACAGAGAGGTCTCTGTCCCCTTCACTCAGTTTTTCTCAAGGCACAGATCCCATCTTGCAAAGCTATAGAACAGTCAGTCTCACAACCAGGAGATTGACATTGAAACAGGTAAGATACAGAAGGATCCTGTGTGTTGCTCAAGGGCATTTTTTATTTAAAAATTTTAAAGTTGACATCATTGAAGGTATCCCTCTTTTTCCCCCTTTTGCCCACTTCCATTCACCTCCAACTCTCCCTCCTTTGGCCTTCACCAAACTATTGTCTGTGTCCAGGCAGTATGCATATATGGTCTTTAGTTAGTCCCTGCACCTTCTTTATCCAGTTTCACAATACTGGATATCAAACTATACCACAAGGCCATTATAATCAAAGCAGCCTGATACTGGCATAAGAACAGGCATATAGACCAATGGGACACAATAGAGAGCCCAGAAATCAACCTACGCCTCTATGGCCAATTAATATTTGACAAAGGAGTCAGGAGCATATAATGGAATAAAGATAGTTTCTTCAATAAATGGTGCTGGAAAAACTGGGCAGGCACATGCAAAAAATAAGAAAAGAAAAAGAAAGAAAGAAAAGAAACTAGACCACCATACATAAGAATAACCTCAAAATGGATAAAAGACTTCAGTGTCAGTCACAACACCATGCAAATCCTAGAAGAAAACATAAGCAATAAAATCTCAGCTATTTCTCACAGCAATATTTCTCCACTGTATCTCCAAGGGTAAGGAAAACTCAGGAAAAGATAAAAAATAGGACTACATCAAGCTAAAAAGCTTCTGCACAACAAAAGAACCATTAACGAAAGAAAAGAGAACCCACAGTATGGGAGAACATATTGGACATCTGATAAGGGATTAATTTTCAAAATATATAAAGAACTTATACAACTCAACACTAGGAAGCCCAAGGACAGAAGAGACAAACTCCAGGTCCTCTTTTACCAAAAACAGAAAAACAAAACAAAAATTATGGATATTTCTATGATTCCATTTATCTAATCATACCTTCCATATTAGCTCCTTTATGATGAAAACACATATCAAACACACAAAATTACAGTTGGCCTAGACTTTTCAAAACACTGACATCATGAAAGTCATCAACAAAGGAAGTCTGGGGAACTTTTTCAGATTAAAAGAAACTAAAAAAGACAAGTTAACTAAATGTAATGTATGATCCTGGAGGAGGTACAAAATTGCTATAGAATATATTCTTGGCACAGCAATGTGAATATACTTTACTAAACTGTACACTCAGATGGTAAATTTTATGTTATGTAAGGTTTTTTATCACAATTTTTTAAAAGGACATTATTGGGACAATTGATGAAATTTGAACACAACTATAGATTAGACAAGAATATTGTATCAATGTTTAATTCCTGAATTTGATAATTGTATTTGGTTATCTAAGAGAATGTTTTTGTTTTTAAGAAGTACATACTGACGATCAATGATTCTCTCTCAACACTGATGTTTCTATCTCTCCCTCTCCCTTCCTCTCTGAAATCAATAAAAACATATTTTAAAAAAATAAATACATGGTAAAAGTATTTAAGGTAAAGGAAGATTAAATGTTCCAAGAAAAAATTAAGGGGGTAGTGCAAATATGGCACATGTTAACAATTGGTGACAGTGGCTTTGTATTATTCTTGCAACTCTTTTGTAAATTTGAATTCATTTACAAAATAAATTTTAAAATGGGGGTTTAAAAAAAGTGAAATGATCTTTGTTCCCATCCTGTCATAAGGGAAATCATTTTCTATTTGAACAAATATATGTTTGTGTACTCACTCTGGGAGAGGTGCTGGCCATTTACATGCATTTTCTCCCTTAATCCTCTCAGTAACACCACCAGGAGGTGTTAACTCTTATCCTTGTTTTTTGTAGGAGGGGAGATGGGGTTTAGAGAGGTGTGACCCAGTCACTTGTTGGTTAGGGGCACACCAGGATCACTCTGGAATGATCTATTAGACTTTTTCTCCATATTATTATTATTATTGTTTTAACCATGGACTCAAACGTTTTGCACTGTGTACACTATTTATAGCATCTTGCCTTTTCACTTAGCAGCATATCTTGGAGCTCTCACCTTATCAGCACTTTCAGATTTGCTAGTTCTTTTCCAGCTGCATAGTGTTTCATTGTATGGAAAAGTCCTATCTGATTTAACCACTTAGGGTTTGCCTACGTTTTCACTATTACAAATGCTAGAGAGAACATTTTTGCATATGCAGATATCTGATGAATAGAGTTACTCCATCTTAGAATGGAATTGCTAGGTCAGTACCTTCCACTTGGTTTGGAGTTGCCAAGTTGCCCAAGAAGATTTGAGTTCAGCATTGTACATACTTTAGTCCATTCATGCAACATGTCTGTTGAACACCTACTATGCACCCCCACATCTTGCTGGGTGCTGGTACAAAACAGTGAACCAGATTAAAGCTCCCTTGTTGGGAGGCTGTTAGGCAGAAAAGATGAGACATGTAAAAAAGGAGTTTAAAAAAATAAAAATAGTAAATCCGGACCAGGTTGGATTGCAAACTCACCATCATATGGAGCTGTGGTGAGATTACTGATTAGTTGTCAAATTGACTATAAGCATGCTGGAAGCTGAGGAAGAGGAGACAATTCCATTTTTAGTTTTTTATCTTGATACATGTAAATTAATACAAACAACATTCTATTGTTGGATTTCTAAGACAGTTCCAATTCTGATTTTTTCATAGGCTGGGTGATGAATTCGCTTCTCTGTTTAAAAATATTCTTCCAAATCTCAAGATTTCTCCTTGAGACAAATTTGAGATATGTAATTCCTGGAGTAAAGTTTAAGTCTTTTCAAGATCCTTGGCCTAAACTTCAATGGACATTTAAACTGTCCCCTCTAGAAATTTGCTCTTTAAAGGGTCTTTTGGTAATTCCTAGTTTTGAGGGTGGTGGTGATAATGACTCCAACCTTTTGGATATCTCACCCTGTATTTCAAATTCATGGTAGGACTCCTTTGCCTAAGAAAATGAGGGCTCAGATCTCTATTGTCTGCTTTGTTTTTCTCCTCAGGAATGCCTGGTCTGGCCCAGATTAAGACTGCAATGCAAATTGCTGCTGGGTGCTGTGAACACAACCTTGGGGTATAACCTTGGAGGATTTACCTGAAGAACTTTCTCTTCTAGACCATTTTTTATTATCTTAAAGATTAAGGAGTCTACTCATTTATTCATTCATTCATTCATATTTATTGAGGCCCGTTGCTAGGTGCTAGGGACACAGCAGTGAATAACACAGAATACTGCTCCTCACCCATGCAGTTTACAATCTAATGGAGGAGACAGACTGTATTTGAAGACATTAAAAGGGGATAAATGCTAGGAAAGAGAGTGGGAATTGTGAGCAGGTTCAAACATAACCCTGGTAGAGGGGAGAGGAAGCCAGGTGAAGGTAGACCTGAAAGATGAATAAAAATTAAGCAGACTGAGTTGTCAGGCCCTGAACAAAATAATATAACCATCAAGGGGGAAGCCCTGGGGTCTTGGACACGCCACCTTCCCTTCTCTCATTACTCCCCAGCTCAACAGAACTCAGTACAGTAGTTCCAACTTATCTGCAGTTTTGCTTTCCACAGTTTCAGTTAGCCATGGTCAATCATGGTCTGAAAATATTAAATGGAAAATTCTAGAAATAAACAATTCCTAAGTTTTAAATTGTGCACCACTCTGAGTAGCCTGACAAAGTCTCACGCCATCCTACTCAGGGCGTGAGTCATCCCTTTGTCCCGCTTCCCCAGGCTGAGTATGCTTCCCGCCCCGTAGTCTCTCAGTAGCCGTCCTTGCCATGCTTCTGTTCATCTTACTTCATGTTAGCCCCAAAGCATAAGAATAGCGATGCTGGCAATTCGGATATGCCAGAGAAGCCATAAAATGCTTCCTTTAAGTGAAAAGGGGAAAGTTCTTGACTTAAGAAAGAAAGAAAAAAATCATAGCTGAGGTTGCTAAGATCTATGGTAAGAATAAATCTATCAGTGAGATTGTGAAGAAGGAAAGAAAAATTTGTGTTACAGTTTTGCTATCGTACCTTAAACTATAAGAGTTATGGCCACAACCCTGGCCAGGTTTTCTCAGTGGTTAGAGCGTTGGCCTGAGCACTGAAGGGTCACTAGTTCGATTCTGGTCAAGGGCACGTACCACATATGTAGGTTGTAGGCTTGATCCCTGGCCCTGGTGGGGGCATGCAGGGTGCAACCAGTGGATGTCTCTCTGTCTCTGTCTCTCTTCCTCCTTTCCATTCTCTCTAAAAATTCAATGGAAAAAATATCCTTGGGTGATGATTAACAACAACAACAAAAGTTATGGCCACAGTGCATAATGAGTGCTTAGGTAATATGGGAAAGGCATTAAATTTGTGGGTGGAGGCCACGAAGAGAAAAAGTGCTGATGAACAGCTTCGGACAGCATTGAACCCCACCTGACATTAAGAGGAAATGCTTTTAATGACTTTCTCAAAGCTTTGGTCATTGAACAGGTGGTTTTAAAGGCTGTATACAGTATCTACAATAATGATAACCCTGCACCCAAACATTGTTTTTCATTTAAAAAAACTCTGTAATACTTATTCTTGATAGAGCTATTTAAAATTTTGGAGGAAAATCAAGAGAATAAAGAGCATGGTAATTCAAAAAAAGAAAAAGAAAGAAAGAAAAAGTGTTGGCCCTACCCGGTTTGGCTCAGTGGATAGAGCGTCGACCTGCAGACTGAAGGGTCCCAGGTTCAGTTCTGGTCAAGGGCATTTACCTTGGTTGCGGGCACATCCCCAGTGGGGGGTGTGCAGGAGGCAGCTGATTGATGTTTCTAACTCTCTATCCTTCTCCCTTTCTCCCTGTAAAAAATTAATAAAATATATTTTTTTTTAAAAAAGAAAAAGTGTTGATATTGAGGGCAATGTGTTATCCCCAATATCAACTGCCCAATCAGTTCCATACTGATTGAGCCTGTATGAAGACTTCAGCAAGGGATCTGAAGCAAGTGACACCAAGCAATTTACTGCAAGTAAAGGCTAGTTACACAGACTCGGGAATAGGTTTGGCATTTTATCATCTCACATCATCACAGAAGAAGAAGGGTGAGTACAGAACAAGATATTTTGAGAGAGAGACAGAGACCACTACATTCACATAACTTTTATTACAGTATATTATTATAATTGTTCTATTTTATTCTGAGTGTTTACTAAGAATCTCTTACTGTGCCTAATTTATTAATTAAACTTTATCATGGGTGTGGTTAGGAAAAAACATAGTATAATGGGGTTCAGTAGTATCAGAGGTTTCAGGCATCTACTGGGGTCTTGAAATGTATCCCCTGTGAGTAGAGGGGGAGCGCTACTGTAATCACTTTCCAAAGCCCAGCCCGCAGGGAGGGTTATCAGCGCGCTGTGTCTATGCACTTCCTGAAGCTTTGAGCAAGAGGGCCTGCCCAGAAGAGATAAGGACAGGTCTGCACTAGGGGGTCCATCCCCTCTATTTTATCCCACAACAAAAGAGGAGGCAGAGTCCGGATCCACAGCAAATCCAGGAAGTGGAATCCTTCCTTTCCAGTCCCCCAACAACAATGACAGTAGTTAATGTTACCACATATCAGGCCATTGTGTTCAGTTTCCACATGCCTCTTATCTAACCCTCCATAAACTTCTGAAGCAGATACTAGTAGGCCAAGGAATTTGAGTGACCTTTCCAAGGTCACACAGATGTCAGAAGCCAATGTCCTAAGCCATAGGATAGGACCTCTTCACTATCAACACTTGGGCAGTATCCTACAACATGCATTTCCATGTATCATGTAATTTATCATAGCAACACAATGAGGAAAGCATTGGGAGCCCCCTTTAAAGGAAGAAATCCAAGCCTTAGAGAAGATAAGTGCTATAGGTAAGTCCTAAACCTGTGTTCCCTGACTCACCAACAAATATTTATTGAGCACCTACTATGAGCTAGGCCCTATTTTAGATCCCAATGAACAACATATAGCAGTGGTCAAACATATAAATAAGGTGTCCCTCAAAGACTTATTCCAGTCAGGTAGACAATAATAAGTAAGTAAATACATTGCATATTGGACGAGGATATATAGAAGGAGGATGGAAAGTACATAAGTAAGTGGAACAACAAATTGATCTCCCTCTCTCTCTCTCTCTCTCTCTCTCCCTCCCTCCTCTCTCTAGCTCTCTTTCTCTCTCTTATCAATAAATAGGCCCTGGCCAGTATGGTTCAGTTGGTTAAGCATCGTCCTGTGCACCCAAAGGTTGCTGGTTCATTTCAGGTCAGGGCACATGCCCAGGTTGCAGGTTGGGTCCCGGTTGGGGTGTGGGGGAGAGGTAACCGATAAATGTCTCTCTCTAAAATCAATTTTTAAAAAAATTCAAATCAATAAATAAAAGTTTTTAAAAATAATGAAGCAGAAAGGAATTCCTTCTAATGGTTAACAGGATGTTTCTGTTGAAAATGAAAGGTGAGGAAAAAAGGAAAAGAAAATGAAAGGTGAGGAACCTACTTTGCAAATGAACATGACCTCTAATGACACTGCAATTAAGACTGAGTACTTTACAATGAGGTTCTTTCACATACTTGGGCTCTGTGAATCCTTCAGACATTCTGGGAAGTAGGCATTAGGATTATTATTATTATTCCAATTAGATGAGGAGATGACTGAGGTCCAAACTCCTTAGCATATAGCACACTCAGAGCTACTCAGGGTAGGGGGATGGGGATGGGGCTGGAGCTCAGCGTCTAGTCCCAGCTTTGCCACCAACTAGTTGTGGCTTTCAGGCAAACTGCCTTCCCTTGAGTTATATATATATATACTTTTTATTTAGATCAGAGAGGAATGGAAGAGAGAGATGGAAACATCAATGATGAGAGAGAATCATCAAGCAGCTACCTCCTGCACACCCCTCACTGGAGATCAAGCCCACAACCCGGGCATGTGCCCTAACCTGGAATCAGGAATCGACTGTGACCTCCTGGTTCATAGATTGATGCTCAACCACCGAGCGATGTCAGCCAGGCCGGGTTTCCCTTTTGTGTTTACATGATTGGATCTCTTGTGGAAAATGTAGCAGATTTATATAATTCTATGTACAGCTATTTTAAAAAGCATTTTTAGGTATGTTTTGATTTTAGAGAAAAAAACATCAATTTGTTGTTCCACTTATTTATACATTCATTGGCTGATACTTGTATGTGCCCTGACTGGGGATTGAACTCACAACCTTGGTGCATCAGGATGACACTCCAACCAACTGAGCTACCCAGCCAGGGCTATGTACAACTATTTTTCATTGTCAGCTCTGTATTGTATTTTATTATCTCCTGAATAAAGTGATAATATTGCGTCTTTTAAAATTTTTTTTTAAAGTATATTGATTTGAGAGAGAAAGAGAGAGGAAGAAGGAGAAAGAGATAGAAAGAGGAACATCAATTTTGTTGTTTTACTTATTAATGCACTCATTGGTTGATTTTTGTATGTGCCCTGACCAGGGATCAAACCCACTTGGTATATCAGGAAGATGTTCTAGACAACTGAACTATCTGGCCAGGGCAACATCAATTTGGGGGGCCTGGGGTGGGGGACGGGCACCTTTTTAATCAATATAATCTCTAATTTATGGAAGTGTTGTAATACTAGTTCAAGGAACTCTTAAAGTGTCTTTTTAATCAGATTCTCCATTTATTTACATTTTGCCCATTTGCTTTATACTCTCCCTTTCTCATATATGTGCATCTTATTGTTTCTGAACCATTTAAGGGAAAATTGGTGACATTGTGTCCTTTACTCCTAAATACTTTAGTGTTTATTTCCTAACAGCAAGGACATTTTTTTATCTGTGTGTTTTTGGGTGATGAAACAAATGACCTTTAATCACAGAATTTTGTTGTTTCCTTTATAAACATTGATTTCCATCACGATTACAATGATTGTGATGTCACAATAAAATTTTAAGTAAACGCCGTTTTACCAGTATGCAACCAGAGGAGCATTTGAAATCAGTCTAGAAACAAAAGTTTTTTTCTAACTTTCCATGTTCTCTGCTGCCTTTGTGTGTATATAGTAATATCTCTATATTTTTTTAAACATTAAGAAGCAAAATCTTGCGGGGGGTGGGGTGGGAGGACGAAATGGTGAAAATAAAAGCAAAATCTTTTTTCCAATTACAGACAAACAAAATCTTTCATAAAAATATTTCTGCCCTAGCCGGGTGGCTCTATTAGTTAGAGTGTTGCCTCCTACACCAAAAGGTTGTGGGTTTGATTCCTGGTCATGGCACATACCTAGATTTCGGGTTCAATTCCTGGTTGAGGTGTGTATGGGATGTAACCAATCGGTGTTTCTTTTCTCTCTCTCTCTCTCTCTCAAAATCAATAAAAATGTGTCCTTGGACTGGGTAATCCAGCATCAATGTTTTCATTTAAGTGCATTCAGTTGTCCCAGTAGCAATTCTGTGAAGGGTTCTTTTTCTATGGCTAAGGAAACTGAGGCTCAGAGAAACCAGGTGACCTATCAGTCATGGGATCTTGGAGGTAGGATTCAAAACGCAGTCTGATAAAAAGCCTCCTCACCCTCACCCCCCAGGACATGGAGTCAGCTGCTCTAGGAATGCATGCTGGAGGAGAGGGTGTGGTGTGGGAGATGCATATGGCATGTCCTACCACCCAGATAGTAAGAGGAACACTAGCAATGAGAGCTGGGGAGCTGGGCGTTAGCCCAGCACACAGTGCGTGTGACTCCACATTCACATTTACATTCACATGGCCAAAGCAGATCTCCCGAATTCCCCTCCACGTCCACATTCTGGGAGCCTTCTTCATTTAGTTAACGAACCTCCCTTCCCATGGGTGCTCAGGGTAAGTCATCCTTGATGCCACTCTCCCCTTTACCCCTGGAACCATCAGCACTTGACACAGTCTCCCCAGCTATCCTAATCCAGTCACTCTTCCACTTCCTTTAGTCCCGCCTGGTCCAGGCCACCGGATTCTCAGTCTTCCAGATCAGGTACCAGCCTCCTCCTCATCCACCTCCCCATTGGGTCTGTTTAATATATGAGTTGAATCATGGTTCAAATGATGACATCCAAAGTCCAAAGTCACCACAACTTATTAGACGCTGCAGAAATCTTCTCCCACCCCATCTCTTCCTCACTCCCTCTGCTCTGGCCACACTGGCCTCTAGGCTGTCCTTCCCACAGGCCAAGCTGAATCCTGGCCTGACTCAGTCTGCATCACTTCCGTCTCCATTCTATCGTCTTCCCAGATATGTCCATACCTGCCAGTCTCCTGTTTCTTTATGTTCATTGTTTGACAGTCCCCAACCACCATGTGAGCCCTGGGCCTCCCTGTCTGAATTCATGGTCAGGTACATGCCACACAGCAGGTGCCCAGCAAGGCCAGGCTGCCTGACAGACTTCCTTTGTACAAGTCCCTCTCTTGTCTAGACCTCAGTCTCTCATCTGGAAAGGGGCCCTCAATTCTCCATGCCCTGACTCCTCCTGGAGTGGCTGCGAAGCTCAAATGAGATGGTGACTATGACCTTTTTTTTTTTTTTTTCCAAATTATAAAGTTTTGTGTCCTGGGGAAGCATCATGCCTTTTTTCTTTCATGGTTCTTCTGGTGTTCCTGGTCTTTTTTAAATGACAGGACTGAGACAGCTTGTTCATTTGGACCCTCTATTTGTTATTTCTTGGAGTTAGGTTGTCTACTGTTCCCAGAAAATTCGGTCACATCCCAGAAAACTCAACACTCTGGCATCTTAGCTCGGCCTT